ACAAAATTATACCATACTTAACATAATATATTTAATACTTTTGCTAACATTTATTCCATATTCATTTTAATCAAAAGCTGCTGTAACTATTATTTACATTTTAAACCATGTTTCCATATCTTATTTGGGATATCATTATACTCCTTATAAAGTTTGGACGCACTCTAAAGCTTTTGGTTGTAAAAGTATATTTAGGGTTTTAATGTTTTACTCTTTTTGCCAAAATTAAATCTCCAAAACAACTTATGGTTTACATTGGATCATCACTCTTTTTTCTTCTTCTTTTCCCATCATTTCATGTTGTTTTTTAGGGTGTTATTAGCTGGGCTAGGTACTAGGGTGTATCCATGGATCTATAGCACGTATGTGATCCATGCTCATGTAATGACATCCTAGGTCAGATTTGCCAATGTAAAATATGCTTAAATTCTGGCTTTAGGGTGGCACTCTGTGCAATGACATCTTCCAGACACAATGTGGGATCCAACATGGGATCCAGGGCAATTGAACAATAGTGATGAACTCATGCAATAACATATGAATTTATTTGCATTGATATAATATACTCCTTACTTTCCATTAAATCTTTGGATCCTTTTCCCAGACTCTCTTATGAAGAGGAGAACATGATAGGAGTGGCTGGTCATCATGTTTTGGTGACTTTAAACTCCAACTTTAAATCTGTTTTATACATATATTTCTTTTATTTTAAATTAGCTTGGAAATTTAAATTTTTTCCAAAGAAAACATTTGGGTAGTGAAGAACCCTAAAATACAATGCTGCATTGCGCAGGATGTGGAAGCTCCTGCTTCTTCCAATCCCAGCGACGCCCTCCAGGTATGCTGCAGGGCAGAGATTACAGGAGAATGCAGGCCAGAAAGATTGGCCGGGCAGGGTCTAGCGCCATTGTTTTGGCATCCAAGAACAAATCCAGGAAGAAGAATGTGGAGGACGATGTCGCTGCATATACGACGGCTGCGTTGCCTCTGCTAGAGGAGTATGCTGCCGGATACAGCGTGGCTGTGCTAGAGAAGAAGAAAGATTTGTCATCCAATCTGGGAGCAAAGGAAACTTTGCAGCGTGAGAAATCTTCTTCCAAGAAATCCTCGCTGGAAGAGTTTCTCAAAGGGAAAGTTCGACCATTGGACGAGGACGAAGAGAAAGAAGAGAAGGAAGACGAGAGAGTCGAAGTTTGGGAAGGCGACTTGGGAAGCCCAATGACCGCCGAGGAGGAGCGCAAGCTACTGGCTGAAGCTGAGAAGGAGCTCTCGGAGCTCAGGAAGATGCATGGAGAGCGTTCCATTTTTGAGAATCGCTCGAAGCTTGGGATCGAAGAGGACGACGATGACGACCGCGTGGAAGTTTGGAAGGGAGATAAGATGGAAGTCTGGAACGAAGAGGAGGACTCTTCCACAGATGTTTCTACGAGTGACAAGGAAGATCGAGCAGGAAACAAGAAAGGCGTGCCTGCTGTGATGAGGTGCTTCGATCGAGCAAAGATTTACGTGAAAGCTGGGGATGGTGGCAATGGCGAGGTGGCCTTTCGAAGAGAAAAATACATCCCTCACGGTGGTCCATCGGGTGGTAATGGCGGACGAGGTGGAAACATATACATCGAGGTTGATCCATCGCTCAACTCGCTGCTGTGCTTCCGGAAGAGCGTGCATTTTCGTGCCGGACGCGGCAGCCACGGCCTTGGCAAGTCCCAGGATGGAGCTTTTGGAGACGACTGCGTCGTGAAAGTCCCGCCTGGAACAGTGGTGAGAGACGCGAAGAATTCAGAGACGCTACTCCTGGAGATGACAAAAGCTGGACACAGGGAATTGCTGCTTCCGGGAGGCCGTGGTGGCCGTGGAAATGCTGCGTTCAAGTCGGCGAAGAACAAGACTCCTCAGCTGGCGGAGCGAGGCGAGCAAGGAGCCGAAATGTTGGTTCTCAATCCCCTCCCTTCAAGCGTGATGGTTTGTTCTTCAGTTTTTTTTTTTTTTTTGTTCTTCCTGTCTTGATTTGTTTCTCTCGACTTTCTCTGATCTTTTGAGTTGTGATCTTTCCAGGTGGGTCGATCTGGAGCTTAAACTTGTGGCAGACGTGGGAATTATAGGTGTTCCAAACGCTGGAAAGAGCACGCTACTAAGTGCTATCAGTGCTGCTCGTCCCGCCATTGCTGCATATCCATTCACGACACTACTACCCAACCTTGGAGTGGTGTCGCTGGACTTCGATGCAACGATGGTTATAGCGGACTTGCCCGGGCTTCTCGAAGGTGCTCACGCTGGATACGGCCTCGGTCACGAGTTTTTACGCCACACTGAGCGCTGTCGAGTCCTGGTAAGCTTTTTCTTTTAAACTTTCCTGCGTGCTAAAAGTTTCTTTGGAAAACCAGATTCATGTTATAGACGGTACGAGTCCACAGCCAGAATTCGAGTACGATGCAGTACGACTGGAGCTGGAACTGTTTGATCCTCGCCTTTGCTCCAAACCATCCATTGTTGCTTTCAACAAGATGGATGTCCCAGAGGCTGCTGAACGCTGGGAAAGTTTCCGGAAAGCTATGGAGTCTCGTGGAGTGGAGGTTCGTTCCATGAGCGCCGCAACCATGGAGGGCACGTCGCAAGTTGTACGTCATGCGTATAAGCTTCTACAGACAGTTCCAGTTGGTAAGTATGAAATACTACTTTTAACTGGACTGTGAAACTCTTTCTCTACTATCCTTGCAGAAGAACCCGTGTCGATCTCGAACGACGTAGCTTCGATGGTGAAAAAGGAGCGAAGTAGTCCCATTGGAGAATTTAAGGTGGACGTCGATCCAGAATCAGACCTGTGGCACATTTACGGTGCTGGTGTGGAGCGTTTCACGCAAATGACTAACTGGGAGTAAGCTTACATCTTTTTTATTCCCATTCTTTCGAGCATTACAGTTCTTACACGACTCGCAGGTATTTCGAGTCCTTGCAACGATTCGAGCGGGTCTTGGAATGCAGCGGCATAAATGCCGAGCTAAAGAGTAGAGGAATTCACGAAGGAGACAAAGTTGCGATCGGAGATGTACGTTAAATTCACACTCTTTGTTCTGTGCTATGAGCTCACTGTTTGTTTTTCTTTTTTCTTCGAACTTACAGATAGTTTTCACTTGGCACGATTCCAATGATATTTCAAATGTGGGGACTTGGAGACGCGGCCAGAGAGGCTCAAAAAGTTGGCCACACTGATGCCTCGTTTGTAAAAAAGGTGATATTTTTATCTACAATCTTTCGCTTCTCATCTGTGCGTTCCAGAGAGACATAAAAGGCCTGGTGGTTTAGGTTTTTGCAGCGAGAATGGCTACCAAAGCGGTGTTAACATTTGGAAGATACAAAGGCCAGCCTCTCGGTTCTCTTCCAGCGAACTATCTGCAATGGATGACACAGGAGCTAGACAACCACTGGAATGGCTTGGCCAGGCAAGTCCTATCAGAAAGAAAAGAAGGAGAAAGCTCGAGCACGCAAGAAGGTGGCAGCAACGTTTCTCCTCCGCAGAGCTCTCGCAAAGTCGGATCCATGGTTCTCACTTTCGGGAAGTACAAAGGCCAAGCGCTGGGCTCTCTCCCGGACGTGTACCTGGAATGGATGGCGAACAACATGCACACACACTGGGGGAGACACGCGAGAGAGTTTCTGGATAGCAAGCACGGTGGTGCTCGAGAAGTTCTCATCGCCCAAGAACAGGATGGATCGATCGCGCTGAAGAAGCAGATCCTGACTTGTCAAGAGAGGAGAGACCTCGAGGAAGCCAAGCGGATCCACGCACGGGTGAAAGCCAGCGCCTATCGCAACGACCGATACATCGCCAATCTTCTCATGGACATGTTTGGAGCTTGCGGGAGCGCGGACACGGCGCTAGAGATCTTTGACAAGATCCAGGCGCCCAACATCTTCTCCTGGAACATCATCCTCAAGGTTGTCACGCAGAAGAATGGATGCGATCCAGAGGCGTGGAAGATTTTCGAGAGGATCCCGGAGAAGGAGAAGAATGCCGTGTCGTGGAACATCATGCTCGCCGCGCTCGCGGCCGAGAAGGGGAATTTGCGCAAAGTGGAGGAGTTTTTCTACGAGAGGATGCCCGTCAAGGATGTGTTCTCCTGGACTACGCTGCTCAATGCCTACATAACAAATGGGCGGTTTGACAAGGCCAGGGAGATCTTTGCGAGCCTTGATGACGAGAATGTAAACGCCGCTACGTGGAACACGATAATAGAAGGATATGCCCAGACAGGGGATATGCTGCAAGCCAGAAAGATGTTCGATAGCATGCCCGAAAGAGCGTTGTGTCGTGGAATTTGATGATAGCAGCCTATGGAAAGATACATAATGTGGGAGAAGCAAGAAACCTGTTTGAAAAAGTGAAGGAGAAAAACCAGGTGACTTGGAATGCGATGCTTGCTGTATATGCCCAGAACGGGCATCTGGAGGAAGAAAAAACCTTGTTTGCTGAGATGCCAAAGAAAGATGGCGCTTCGTGGACGTGTTTGCTGCAAGCACACTGCCATGCAGGGACAACCCATGATTCGGAGGAGATCCTGCAGAAGATGCCGTTCGCAAAGACTATTGTGCACTGGACGATGCTGCTGGATGCCCATGCAAAGGCCGGGAATCTCGATCGAGCGAGGGAAGTTTACGACCAAATGCCGGATCCGGATGCGATCGCGGCGAACGCCATGCTCGCCGCGTATGCACACAGAGGATACATGCACGAGGCAAATGCGCTGTTCGAGCAAGTTGGAGACAAAGTTGACGCCGCGACGAAGAACATCATGATCCTGGCGCATGGATCGGCCGGGAACTTGGAGGCATCCAAGCGACTATTCGACGAGATTATCGAGAGAGACCTCTACTCGTGGTCGTCGCTCATGCGGGCGTTCTCCTTGAGCAGCATGAACGAGGACGCGATTCATCTCTTTCGTTGCATGCTCGTCGAGGGCTTTGCTCCAAACGAAGTGGTTCTCCTCGTCTACGCGACCGCTGCGTGTGGGCGTGCGAGCTCGCTGGACGATTCCCGGAGCTTCTTTGCAAACATGCTTCCGGACTATGGAGTGTCTCCCGGCCTAGATCACTATGACTGCATGGTTGGAGCTTTCGGAGCCGCGAAGAAGATGGAAGAAGCAAGAGAGCTCATTGATAGCATGCCTTTCGAAGCTGATGCTCGAGTGTGGATGACTCTACTCGCTTGCTGCCGGAGGCACTTGGACGCGGAGAATGGCAAGCTTTGCGCGGAGAGATTGTTTGTCTTGGATCCAGAGAACGTTTCACCGTACAAGATCCTTGCGGAGATCTACAGCCAAACCGGGAGAGAGAAAGACATTCCTGGATTGAAGAAGATGGTGAGAGACAAAGGTCTCCACAAGCTCGAGGCTGAGAGCCTGATCCAGATCGATGGCATCACGCACAAGTTTCGAGTGGGAGACACTGCTCATCCGAGCATCAAGAAAGTTCGCAAGGAAGTCGCGAGGTTGGCGAAGCTGATGGAGAAAGATCATGGGTATAAACACGAGAACTTGGGATGGAGTGAGTGTGGCGGTGGTGTTCACAGCGAGAAGCTTGCGATCGCGTACGCGCTGTGCGAGAAGAGCCGTGAGATCTCGCTCGTGAATAACTTGAGGATGTGCGGTGACTGCCATACTTCTGCGAAGATGATTTCCAGCGTGGTGAAGAGGAAGATCACGGTACGTGACACGCAGAGGCTGCATGGTTTTGAGAATGGTGTTTGCTCTTGCGCGGATACCTGGTAAGTTTTAGTCTATTGCGGTTCCAGAGGTGGGAAGATCGCGATGGATCCATTCGTTAAATCCACCCTGGAGGTGGAAAACGTTTGTGAATCCTGCTTCCTGGAGTTCATATGCCGCTTTCAATGATCTGTAAGGAGAGTTTCTTTGTGAGAGTTTTTGACGCGAGATCGACGAGAGTACCTCGACTGACGTCCAAAGAAGCGCTCGGGATCCTTGAACTTCTTTGCTTTAGGCCCCGTTCTCTCGACGTACGTGAGGAGAGTTCCTCCAATGCTGCACAGGACGATTACTTTCTTGTTCTTGTCGCCGTTGACAGCGTCGAGAGCTTTCTCCACGAATTCTGGGTTGCGCTCTGCCATGCAAGCTCTTTCAGTATTCCCTAGTTAGAAACGAGGGGAAAATTTAACCTGTGCCGGAGAAGTTCGTAAGCAAGGCAAATCCCAGTCGCCTGCTCAACCAGACCAAAGCATCAGCAAAAAATCTTTGAGAAAAAAGGAAGTAGTAGGAAACCTGGCATTTGCTTTGAGATCGTTTCCTTGAATTTGTCGGAACAAGGGAGCGGACTTTGTTCCCTCGCCGTGCACCTGAGAAAGAAGAAAAAATGGATCTTGTGCCGAGAAATACGATGAATGATCCAAAAGAACCTTTTCGAAGGGTTGACACTCACGAACGTCAATAAGAACTGCGTCACCGCTCTTCATCATCTTGTATGCTTCATCGCAATCGAGGCTCACCAGATTTCTCTCTGTTAGCTTTCGATGAATTTCTACAAAAGAAAGATATAGAACAAGAGAATCAGTCGGTCGAAATTTCATAGCACTCACCAATCCAAGCAGTGTACTTGAATGCGTCGTCAAACAGGGATCCAACGTAGCCATTCCGGGCGGCGACATCGGCCTTGAGCTTGTTGAGCTTGGCCTCCATCGTGTTTTGCGACACGAATTTGTCGTAGAACCATCCCCGGCTGCTACTGACCTTGTCCGCCGCGGGAGCGCCATCGCGATCGCTTGCCCTAGCGCGCGTCGCAAAACCCTGATTGCGAGAAGGAAGAACTAGCGCTCGACTAGCAGAAAGCAATGGAGCCATTCATTTCACTCACTGGCAGAATATGCTCATTTTGAAAAATCTTCCAACAGAATATACTATCGTGAATACTGACAGAATATGCTGCAGACTTGACGGAATGTGTGTTAAGCTTATAGGGGTAGAACCCTAAACCATTCTCTTCGGGAAAAATGGCGGGATAGAGGAGCTGCGCAGCGACGCGCCTTGGATCGGCCGAAATATCCAAGATCATCCGCGGCGATGAGGTTTCCATCGCTTGTCTTGCTCGTGTTGTGCGGCATTTTGGCGCAGGGGCAACGCGACGACAACGGCGGCCACAGGTGCTTCCCAGCGATCTTCGGCTTTGGCGACGATTGGGGCGATGTCGGGAACCTCCAGGCGCTGTATCCGGCGGATCTTGAGAAGCTGGAGGACGAGGCGCCCTACGGGATGTCCTACTTCAAGAAGCCTGCGCGGCGGCTCTCGGACGGGCGCTTGATGCTGGATTTCGTCGGTAATATCGCTCTCCTTGCCCATTCTTGCTCGAATCTCATCTTCTTTTGGGCGATCCGCAGCTCAGGCGCTGGGAATGCCCCTTCTTTCGTCCTACGCTGTGGGGGTTGTCTCGAATTTGCAGCACGGCATCAGCTTTGCCGTTGCCGGGAGCACTGCGAGCTCGATTGGTTTGCAGCAGAACCCGTATCATCTCATGATTCAGATCCAGTGGCTCCAGAAGCTCGAGTCGGACGTGAGAGACGCTCTTGGGAATCAATCTCTTGGTAACTTGGCTCTTCCTTGTTTTTTCTACTTGGTTTTTCACTCCCGATTTTTTCCAGCTAAGACCACCGAGACTTTGCCTAACGAGCATTCGTTCCAGGAGGGTCTCTACATGATTTCTACCGGGCAGAACGACTACAGATACGCATTCTTCCGCGATAACAGAACGGTTCGTGAAGTGGAGCGCACTGTAATCCCCTACGTCGTGGAGAACATCACCGCCACTGTTTTGGTAAGTTTTCCTCTAGACTGGCGTGTTTAACTTCACCAATTTTCCTCGTGTAGTTCCTCTCGACGACTTTTAGAGCTGCCAACTTCATGGTCTTCAATCTTCCACCTCTGGGATGCTCGCCCGAGTTCCTGACCAGCTTTGCCAGCACGGATCCCAATGACTACGACACCATGGGCTGCCTCATCGACTACAACCGGATCACAGTTCTTCACAACGAGCGTCTCAGGGTCACCATAGACGTGCTGCGAGCCAGCTTTCGGGACTCCGTCCGGAGGCTCATCTACGTCGACATGGCCGCAATGGTGACTGGCATCGTATACGATCCTGAATCCAGAGGTATGTCCTTCCAAGCTTGTTTGTTTCTCTTCTCTAATTACGAATCGTTCTTGCTTTGCTTCCAGGCTTTCAGAACGGACTAGAAGCTTGTTGCGGGACTGGAAAGCCATACAACTACGATCCGCGAGTTCCCTGTGGGACGCAGCGAGTGATCCGCGGCAGGAACTTGACCGCTCGTGCCTGTTCTAATCCGAAGCACTACGTGAGCTGGGACGGCATCCATACCACCGAGGCGTTCAACAAGGCCGCAATCCACTCGGTTCTTTCCGGACACTACATCGAGCCCCAAACGCAGCTTGGGTGCCGCGTCAACTTTAGCGAGTTTTGAAGCGTTACCTGATTACCTTTTTGTAGAGTTTGTGCTGTTCGTGAATAAGGAAGAATAATTTTCTTGACAAAATAATTGTAACAATGAGCTTTTACAAACAAATCCACACTGCACACTCTAATTCACACACTAATCTAAACTTACACAATGTTTCTTCTTCGCCATCTTTCCATAAAGATATGTTGCGGCCTTGCTTCTCTCGACTCTGTGTGGTTCTTTCTGTTGAGATATATGTTGCGGCTTTGCTTCTCTCGTCTCTGTGTAGTAGTCCCTTCGGGAGACATATAGAGGCCTTGCTTCTCACTTTTCTGTGTAGTCCTTTCTCATTAATCCATTGCAAATTCCTTGCTTCTCCCTTCCTTTCCTAAGTTGCAGTGGTGTTGTAGATGAATACTTCGTCCCTGTTCCTCTCCCGGTGGCAGCAGCAGCAGCGGAGGCAAGACCGAACAACCAGGAGCAGCAGGGCAAGATTAACCAACACGAAAGGAGTCCACCTGACCGCTGCCAGGGGGTAGTAGCAACCATGAAGAGGAGGTGGCACCGCACTAGGACGTGCTTGTCGTAGCGCTTGTGGTGACACTCGTGGCGTTTTTGTAAGAGGATGGACCGCAAAATCTTCTTAATCACACTAAAACAAACTCAACTTCTTACTTAAGAACCCTAACACTTTTTTAAAATGTAGAATCCCACTTACATGAGGGCAAGATATAGAGGTTCCAGAAACAAGTTTGTATGGTACTTTAGAGTTATTGAATTGTGTATATGCTGCTAAAATGTGTACTCCTGGAGCTGTAATATCAGGCTGAAAGAACAAAAGTCTCAAAACAACTAACAAAATAACAATTAAAATATACCTTGAGTATGTCTGGATCAACCGACCAGAGGATGAAAATGCTGCCATTAGAGGAGAAGGCTTTTGATTTGTCAATGAAATCTGATGTTGTATCTGCGCTACAGGAAACCTAGCACGCACAAAAGGTTAAATAAAATACAAAACACAAACATTTTTACCTTGTAGAATTTATATATGAAAAGATGGCTTCTCCAGCTTTTTCATCAACATAAACTGAAGGAAGAAACTTATTTCCAGTATCTTGATCAACTTGAGTTGAGTTGCAAAAGATAATCCCAGCTCCACCGGCACTAAAAACTGCTAAAGATTGGAAAGGTGGATGCATCCACCCCCTCAAACATGCCACAATCTTTCCTTGGACTTTCTTGGGATCCAAAGACCCATTCAAGCACAATTGCCTAATAATATCATCTTAATTCGTAACATTAAGAATGATTGTTTTACTGACATTGTTTTTTAACAACTTCGTCATAACTTAAACTTATTATATACATATTTTTGTTTTATAACTGTTATAAATGACTTAAAATCTTCAAAAAAAATATAATTTTTACTTTAAATCTAGTTACTAATAATAATAACAACTGAACATTTTAAGTTAAATTTATAAAACTATTGTGTCTTAAATTTTAGCTTAATGACAAAATTTTAAGTTGTATAATGCAATAAGTCAAACTCGTGTTGCACACCATGTAAAATAACACAGCTAGGGATCAGATCACACTTAAAAGGATTAGAGAAAGTCTAAAAATGAAACAAATAACATTTCGACTCTTGAGCACAGCCACACTGAATACTCCTGTTGCAGAAGCGTCATATATGCTCAACTAGATTTAGATCGGCAATCTTTTAATCTGTCTTGCAGGTTAGGGTTCTTCAGTACGATACAAGAGATTAAGGTGCCTTTTCTCTTCTTTTCTTCAATTTTCATATATTTTGAGAATATCTTCAATGACTAATTAGCTAATCACTCCATTTTCACTGTCAACTTTTTAAGTTTGCACCATGTAATGACCAGTGTGATTATCACGACCAGCACAGTAAGAACAGAAATGACATAGAAACTGGCCCATAAGGGTTTTACCTCGTAGGTAGCCGTGGTAGTGAGCAACACCACGCTACCATCACTGAGGACCTGAGGTACAGTTTGCGCCTGCAAGATGTCCCGGTCCTTCTTTATGCTTTCCACGCTGCTATATGCTGTATATGCTAGTAAAACTGCATGGAATGTGAAGTTAGTGAATCAACTTGGCAAGAATAGGTTCACCATACCTGCAAAACCGAGCACCAGGAGTGTTCTATAAAGAAACTTAAACCAAAAGCTGGGTTCCTGGCTTGAAAAAACTGATTTACTGCTCGACTGAGCAGCCTGGTCGTCAGTGTTGGAGTCCCCTACGGCGCCATCCCTGTTCCAGAAATTCTGAAACGACTCTTCGATATCTTGCAACTTGTGACTCGTTGCCAGGAAACATGTTCCCAGGAAGGACACAATCGCTGACAAAATTCCGGTGTAGACTTGGTTTCTGTTGTTTGATCCGTCTTTCCACAGCTTGTTCTGCTTGAACTTGACGTCTCTGAGCTGTAACATGGACTCAATCATCAGCTTGATCTCTGTGCTGATTGCAGTGTCCAGCTTGCTCACACATAGCTTGTCCTTAAACTCGAGCTGTCCCATAGGCAGATCTTCTAAACAGGGGGTACTGATCTTGTTCTCCCGGGGAGTGGGAGCCCAGAGGAATTGTCGCATCTTGTTCAGGTAGTACTCACCATCTTCAATGCTCAGTACCAGCTGATTAGTACTGCACCTGTTCTGAACCTCCACACTCGATGGCACCGGTGACTGCTGCATCAATGCTTCGACACAGGATGTTGTGTTCGCCATGGCTTGCAAGTTATCCGCTGTGACGGTGGTGAGGGCGTACCCGAAAGAGACATTCCCCTTAAAGGTTGCAATAAATGGTGCAGGCTTGTCAGATGAGATGTTGTGTGTGTTAAGAACAAGCCAATTGGTTCCACCGGCGTTCCAAGCCCAGTAAGACTTTGGCAAATTGCAAGGGGAACGATAGTCGAATGATCCCCAACTACTAGTGTCCATGTTCTTGGTGACCACGATACATACCTTGGTTGAGGAATTGGAACAGCCGCATTGGAGGGTAGGAAACCCAAGGTATACTGCGGCGTCGTTGCTGTAGTAAGATGGTGCAAACCCACACTTTGGCACATCCTTAGTGTTCGTAACATAGTAGTGGCTCGAGGTGTTGAGCTTCTGGTACTTGGTGAAGTCCGTCCTTGCATTGCTAGCGTAGTTGGAAAGGTAGAATCCTGCTGTGCTATGCTGCATGTTGTTCAGATCTGGCTCAATGCTGGGTGCAGTAGCAGCCCTGTAAGGGACACCAACAAGGAGCAGGCTGAGATCCACCTCGTTTTCCATCGAAAGGATGGGAGTAGTCCAGAGGCATGACCGATTGCTCTGGCTACCACCGATGGATAGGCACATGCGGATGCTGATACCCCAGTCCACTTGCATCCTCCATTGCCAGTTGCGCCGGTGCTGCTTCATGTGACCGCCTGCTATGTGGGGTTCGGCTGAGGCGTACAGCTTGTTGGCTCCCCCATCACTCGTCGAGTTGCTGATCACTCTCCATGCACTAGCTTGCTGGTAGGCAGAATTGGCGAGCTCGATGTCGATGCCAGTTGTCGTGGAGAGGACGCTGGCGAGGGAAGAACGCAGAGACCATCTGTAGAACGGATCGAATTCGTTGACAAAGCTGTTCACTTCGGGGCATGCAAAACCCTCCCTGGACGGGAGGTCGAGGTAGAAATGATCGTCATCGGACCCATGACAGGAATGCGGGAGAAGTAGTAGTGCTGTTGCAGGCAGAAGCACTGAGAAGAGCATACTTGACAAGAAGGAGGATTCTCAAAGCTAATTGCAGAAGCGCATACAAATTCAAGAAAACATATGAACTCAAGAGGATCAGTGTGTGAGATGGAACAATGCATTTACTTTGTCACATAAACTATATAGACATCTTTTCGCTTTCATAGCAGATTAGTCAAGCTTCTTGTTCCTTTAGACAAATCCTCATTAACAAATGAGCTTAAGAGGTCTTCCATCAGGTTCAGGGTACTTACCAGTCCAAGACAGCTGTAAATATCTAATCTTTCTTGTTCACATGGCAAAAATTATTTTCTCGAAAGTCTTATTTGAGATGAAGTCAGTCTGCACAAGTTGACAAATATAAAACAACTTCACGTATTTAACAATGTCTTAAAAATAATAATAATAATAATAAACAGGTTATTCTTCGTTGATGGAGTCAGAGGCACAAAGAAACTATACCCTTTTAACACACTAATAACATATGTCATAGCTACGACATAAAAGTCTTAGTGGTCATGTGGACAGAAATAGTGAGTACTCTTCTTATAATAAGCTACTGGTACCAATTACAGAAACATGCACCTTGAATCTGCAAGAAGATTACACTTATGTGGGACAAGATAAGCATAATACCTATTCAAGCTTTTAAAGCTGTCGAAAGGGTCATGCATGACATAAAAAAATTGTGAAATAGATTTTAGGGGCATCACATTAGTAGAGTTTAGATAGACATTATTTGTTCTAAAAAAGGTTTGTTGCACATAAATTGTCTAAAACAATATAAAATCCTCACTAATATGGTAGAAACTTGTAAAGTTCTCATTACACACAAACATAAGGGATGAACTCTAAAGAAAAAGAATGGTATAGATGGCTTGTGAAGCTTAAAGATGGTAACTTACTTGGCTTACAAAGTTATAAAATTACTTCTAACAGATAATGTGTTTGGAAAACATGTACAGTCTAATGACCTAAACCTATCACAAAATGTTATTCTCACAACTTTAAATGATCTCTCTGTAAAAGTGAATGATTAAGTCCTTTCAAATGACTGGCAGAAGAATAATATATAGAAGTAGACATTGTAGAAATATATTTGGATGAAGAGATGTTAGAGCACCTTATTGAGTTCTTAAACTTAGTAACATCATACAATATCAACACCAAAAAAAGCCTTTGTGAACTAATTATAACTAAAGCACTACCAAATATTATAAAATTTGAAATTCTACATAATACTATGCAAGGAAAAATAAGTCCTTCTACCAAGAATCTCTGTAAAACCAACTACATAGACATACCATTCATCCTTAAACACCAACAATTCTCTATAAGGTTTGTCTTCTCTATAAAAAGTTGCAAATCAAACACTACAAAATGTAGGTATCTAGCACCCACAGTTGCACTTTCTAAAGGAACATCAAAGAAAAAAATGATAATATCTATCAAACAGTGTGCAAGGTGTGCTTTAGAACCATAATGTTTACATAAAAAATATTGTACACAAGGAAATTCTCTGGGATTCATGTCACCAATGCAAAAGAATTCCTATTTATTTGGATTTAGTATGCTAGAATATCTAAAATGATATCTAAGAATATTCTAAATATATCCACTATCTAGGCCGATATTTATGGGATATTTTAGCATCTATTCATTTGCATTTATAGTTTATAAACTTTGTTAAACACATTTATATTCCATCAAACTTAATTTGTTTAACTCTAGTACAAATCTCTTGCCAAAGATCAAGTGAGCCTAAGCAGGAATCCAAGAATCGGGAAGGGGAGAAGAATGAAATTAATGTGCTTCATCTTAGCCACCTCTAGATAGATTTGGAACTCACTATTACTTGCCCTAGGTCCTTGTATGGGTATTCAAGTAATTTAAAGTATCTCTCCTGGCACATTTATTTATTTCAAATTTAGTCCATCTCTCTCTCTCTCTCTCTCTCTCTCTCTCTCTCTCTCTCTCTCTCTCTCTCTCTCTCTCTCTCTCTCTCTCTCTCTCTCTATTATAATATACAAAACTATACATAATAGTAAGTACTATTCAAATTGTAATGGCTTTCTTCTAAAATTAAATTATATTTATGGTTTCAAGGTTCCTTGATACAAGGATTAATGCAAGCACTTGGAAGATGATAGTGCTGCTACAAAAGATACTCATCGAGCCTTAAAAACTCAAATCTCAAAATATAAAGATTTAACTTATAATAATATAAAATAGAATAACAACAAAAGAATAATATGCCAATATAAATAATTTGCTGCATGCATTCTAGAAATCAAATCATGTGCTATCTACAGTAAAAATTAAATTGATTTATACTTGCATAATAACCTTCATAAAATCTTATGTTATGTATATTAATAACTAGCTTCTGTTCTGGTTTCACTACTATGCTTTAAAAGAATCATGTTGGAACATGAATGTGCAAACTATACGTATAACCATTGTTGAAAAACCATTATATTTTATTAGAACCATATGTTTTTGTGAGAGTTACAAGAAAAACCATATAGAAAGTAAAATGAAAACAATATTCACGGGAGCATGAGCACTCACGCCCATCAATCACTAGGAGCATCAACTCCTCAAGGAATTGAACTTATAATATGGCAACTATCATCCACACAGAGCCTTCAACAAAGCTCTTCCTTCTCCTCCTCACTGCTTCTGGCTTTTCTCTTCCTCCTCAAGCGTGTTGCCAAGTTTACAACCCCACCAAGTGGAAGTTGGATCCTCTCCGACTACTTCAATCACTGACAGTCTCACACCTCAGATGAGAAGTATGGTGTGGTGAGAGAAGTTCTCCCAGATATGGTGATAGGACTTCTTTTTCTTTCTTTCAATTTTGACAAACCAACTGTGTAACTGCTATTGTAAACAACCTCTTGTGAGTTAGATTTGTAGAGTTTAAGTTTTGTAAATGATGTGCAACTAAAAATAATTATGAGAAAAGCTATAATTCTTTGATAGAATGAAAACAAGATTTTAAGGGTATTGTCAGCACCCAGCGTGATCTCTATCACCAGCACAGCATGAACGTATGGAAAGGAATTGTCTCAATGCAAATGCGGGAAATCTTAAATCAAACTGTCCTCCACGACATGCCGTGCGAAGAGAGAGAATTGTTGTCCTAGGGATTAGGGTTTGTGGGAAAATGGCGCTGCTAGTGGCGAAGAGGACGAGCGCGGATGTAGAGATGGCGCGCGGCTTCAAGGAGCATGCGACATGGAGCCCCTACGAGAACAATGGCGGGTGAGTGATCTTGGATCGCGCTTTGCTTCCTGTGGACGGATTTTCGCAGGACTTGCGTCGCGATTGCTGGATTGGATTATTGCATCGTCGCAGCTGACACGAGATTGTCGCTTGGCTACAGCATACTGACCAGAGGCCATTCTAAGCTGTTTAAGCTGTAAGTTTTTCTTGAGTTTGGAAAAAATGTGATTTTTCTTTCCTATCTTTCGCAGCTCAGACACTGCGGTCATGGCTTCCTCTGGCTTCCAGGCCGATGTGAGAACTCTGCAAAAGAATCTAGAAGCCCGGCAAAAGGTTTGTTCCTCTTTGTTTCCAGATTTTCGCCTTAGACCGCTGCTTTTTTGTTTCTCTCGAAACAGGGTTACTACCATCAGCACGGGAAACCAATGTCTTGCCCAGGGATGGCGCAGCTCCTGTCGAACACCCTCTATTACAAACGCTTCTTTCCATACTACAGTTTCAACGTTCTTGGTGGTCTAGACACCGAAGGTACGTTTGGAAGAGAGAATCAAAGTCTAAATCTTTGTGGAGGCTTGTAGGCAAGGGATGTGTCTACACTTATGACGCTGTTGGTTCTTACGAGCGGACAGGATATAGTACCCAGGGAAGCGGTGCAGAGTTGATAATGCCGATTCTGGATAACCAGCTCAAGTCTGCCAGTCCTCTCCTTTATCCTCCAAGGGTGAGAAATCGTTCTTCTCTGTTGCTGACTGCGGGGAGTTTACAGGAAACAGCAACGCCCCTCACGGAACAAGAGGCTTTGGAAATTGTCAAGGACACTTTCGCTTCGGCTACGGAGCGCCAGATATACACCGTTCGTATTGCGTTTTCTGGGTCTCGCGAGCTTGAAACTCAACGCAAACTTGTGTGGTGTTGCAGGGAGATGGACTTGAGATTGTTGTCATCAACAAGGATGGAATACACAAGGAGTATTTAGACCTCAAGAAAGATTAGGCACTCTCTTTCCACGCTGTGTTGAGTCTTACGATATATTTCATGCCCTGACTGCCGGGTGTGACTTTTTCATTTGTGTTATATTCTTAAACTAATCCTTCTTGGTTTAGGGTTGACAAAAAAACGTTACAAAAACTGCAAAAGGTAGATTTATTTTGTTTCCGTTAATTAATTCTAACTTAATCATCTGTAAATTTTATTTTATTTTAAAACAACCTAAAGAAAAGCAGCAAATTATTTCTATTGGCATCCTATTCTTTTTTATATTATTACAAGGTAAAAAAAATTGAATTTGTAATATTAATTTTCTTATAATTGGAAGAAAAAAGGCTATTAGTATCTCTAGTATTGGCATTATCATCTTCATATGTTTGCATTAATCTTCATAGCAAGGGACGCCAAAATTATATTATACAACCAAGAAAGACCTTGCGAGAGATTTCTTCTTGGATGGGCTACACTACACCCTTTTGGAGTGAATTGGGGTGGTTGGAGTGATTGTTCCATAGAACTTTCTGGCTTATCTCAACAAAGTCAAGTCTGCATTAACTTGTGAAAACATAATAGTTGTTAACAGACACCTTTGACAAGACTAGTCTTTCTCAAGAGGCACAGGGGAAAGTTTGAACAAAGAAGATGTTGAGAAGACGGATGCAAAAGGCTGTTTATGTTCCAAAAGAGGAAACTTTCAGCATCCAGGCTTGGAAAGGCCTAGGAACTCTTCATCTAGATGCAAGAGCAAGGCTATAGTCATACAGCCTTTGTTCTTCACTGCCTTGGGAACGAAGTCTTATAATGGCATTTTTTCTTCAGGGCTGCTGACTTGCAACACCTTTCTCCAAATATCAATCCCTCCAACGGTGCAGTTCTACATACACGTAATCCTAGGCAAACGATTGGCCAAAGAAATATGTGAATTTCTATGAGAAATGGAGATCAAGTGTTAATCCTCAGTCATAGACACCATACTTGCAATTACACCATAGGGATATAACACTTCTCACCACAAACACCAACAACCCAGAGAGGATTGCATTTAGGTTCTAACCCAGGATGTGACAAGGAAGTGTAGGAGGTGGATAGGTGAAGCCCAGGCTAGGAACTGAAGGCTTGACCTGGAAAAGTTCACCAAATCACGTAATAATATAAAGTAGACTAATAACAAAACATTATTATGCTAATATAAATCATTTGTAGTGGATATTTCTAGAATATTCGTACAATCAACCTAAAATATTCTAGCATATTTTATCGGTGAAGATTAAATAAACAAGAAGATTTACATGGTCAGTTTATCGTCTCTCATTAACTAGCTTCCCAAGCCAATAATCAATGGGTTGTTTGCTTTGAATGCTATTCATCTTTGTTCTGTTTTCTTGTGTGATCCGTCGGCACACAGGTGGTTCATTCGGTGTACAGGGCGTTGAGCAGCATGGGATTTCTGCTGGCTGTTCTTCAGGTAAACAGACGCACATTTAGTATGGTGCTGATGCAGCGGACGTTTAGGCTAGGACACTATCAAAAGGAAGAAAAGGGATTCCCTCCTAAGCATTTAAAATTGTTCCTGTTCTTCATCCTATCGAGAAAAACTAGAGCTTTTCTACCAAAACTATTTTCAGCTGTGTGTCATTTACAAAAAACTTACACTCTACGCATCTCACTCACAAGAGGTTGTTTACAGTAGCAGTTACACAGTTGGTTCGTCTCAACTCCTGCAAAATCGAAAGAATGGAAAAGAAGTCAGTGATGGAACAAACTAATCACGCAAAGAACTATCATACCTGGACGATACGATCGTCCGAGACATGCGGAAGGACTTCTCTCACCATGCCCACCATGCTTCTCATCTGAGGTGTCAGACCATCAGTAATGGAAGTAGCCGGAGTGGATCCAGCTTCCACCTGGTGAGGTTGTAAACTTGGCGACGCGCCAGAGGAGGAAGAGAAAGGCCAGAAGCCCCAAGTGGTAGAAGACGGTGGCGAGGAGGAAGAGGAAGAGCTTTGTTGATGGTTTCGTGTGGACGATAGCTGCCGCATTATAAGCTCGATCCGGCTGAGGCCCCGTGGAGCTGATGATGCCGAGCCTTCTCCTGGCGATTGACGGGCGTGAGAGCTCCCGGAACCGGAGAAGTGTCGCACCATCAACTCTAGCCTTCCGAGGCCTCGAGAGTTTGAAGCGGCGTTGTCAGAGGAGGACTGCCCGGCTGCCACCGTCGTCCACTCCGAATCAGATCCAGAACCTCTACATCGACGCATTAACAGTGTCAAGCTTCGATGACGAGCAAAGGTGCCTACCTCCACAAACTCGCCGCATTGTGTTGGCTCGTTCTCGTGAAGCTCTGGTGGGAACGTCCCAGAGTTCTTAGATTTCCCATGAAAAGGGGCCTTCGACAAGTTGGACATGAGTATGTGTCTGCGAGGCCTTGATCTAGCCTGCACAGGGCCAAGTTCACACACATGAGAAAATTCTTAAACATGAAAGTTTACCATGAACGCAGGCAAGAGAGGTGGAACAGATGAGCGCATGGAAGTCTCTTCGCTTTCACCATTGGCTCCTGAAAAAGACGGTTCGCTTTCGTCAGTGAAGTGGAATGCTGCTGTTAGACACTAACTTTACAAATAGCGCAGTCGTCGTCATACGCCAGGAGTTCCTCTTGCGTGGCGTCCGGCAACGCACCTTGCAACGTGCTCATGGCCGTGCGCATCCTCATAAATCCCTTAATTCGTTTGAGGATTGCACTTAGAAGTGCCTGGAAAAAATGGAAGTGAGTGTACGTGGAACCAACGAGGTCGTTCTTACCCGGAGGTTGAGAAACAAAATGGCATCGACAACTTGAAAGGCAAGGCCCCTCAGCCACCAGATATGAAGGCAGTGTCCCAAAGCCAAGAACAAGCTCAAAAGGTCCATGCCAAAGCTGAAGTTACGAACTATCATTCCCTTCCACTCCCACGACGCACCTGGTCATAATATCTTTCAGCCAAACAAAGTGTAGCAAAGCCAAACAGAGCACCTGCGACTGATCGATCTGGCTGCAAACCATTCGTTGCAGCGGGAGAAGTGTCTAAAGACTGACGCTGCCATGTATCCAATAGTTGCACCCCATGAACTAAAACAGCCTGGAATCACAACAAATGAGAACCAACGTTTACAAAGAAACACTACTAAGACCTGCAACGTCTCAAACGCAATGCTCAGCGGTTCGAACAAAAGTAGCATGAAAGTGCTTATTCCCGTGTCCTTGAAAACCACGAGACACAATTGAATCCTGCGACACCAGAGAATCACAGCTGGTTAGCATGAAGTCGAAACGTGCGAAAACCGTGAAGCTCACCAGAACAAGTCCGAAAGTAAAACCAGGACAAGCACCGAGAAAACACGCAGATGAGCATAGACTGTCGCAGTTGGAGAAGCATTTAAACGGTCCAAGCGATCCCTCGCAAGACCTTGGAACATCTAGAAGAACCAGGTTACGTTACGGCGGTAAAGATCCATAGTCCCCATACCTTAAGGAAACCAAGCACGGCGAACCACGCGAGCCAGAGAGCTATTTGCATCATCTCGGGCTGGACAACCCAGGTGAGAAAGAGTCCCTGTACATCAATGAATCGCTTTAACTTTAAAAAGCCTTTGCAAGGAATCTCGCCTACCTTGAAGAGGACGTAGTTGATCATCCGTTCCACGACTTTCTGAGTCTCCAGGAGCGTAAGAGTACCAAAGAAAATAGTCTGCACAAAGAAGTAGAAGGGATAAGCAACGAAGACAATGGAAAAAAAAAAAAGTGTTCAAACCTTCATACAAAGAGCTAGAACAACGAAGAAGTTGACGAGGAGATTGGCCAGCAGCACGATTGTGAGAGACGACTGAAGCAGCGATTGGAGCAATTGAGCTGTGTCGACAGGATCAAATGCCTTCTTGTCCACGGAAATCCCTGGCAAGACCTTCTGGAGCACCGAATTTATCCTCCACACAATCCCGCCCAAGCTAATCGCCGTGTACATGGCCACAAACGATCCATAGCCTCCAGCCATGGTCTCGAAATCCCTCTCAAACAAGAAAGGAGGAGGAGAAAGAAGAAGCTCTACATTCGGATGAACCCTATAAACCCAGGGAGCTGAGCTAGCTCCTGCGATGCCGCGATTCTACAGCGATTCTAGCAAATCTTTCTCGCGGCAATGGCGACCGCGATGCGAAATTTACCCGCGACGATCGATCGCTGCGCGCCAGGCCGCGGAATCTTTCCTCCTCCGCCCTGGAAACAAGAGAGGGGAGAAAAACCCTTCGACCTAACAGTCCACTCGAGACTATTTCACTTCTTCCAATTTCTATATGGTGACAAACACACACATTGATTGGATCCTTTTAAATCCTCTCTGGATAAACTTTGCCTCTATTTGTGTGTCACAAGTGAGCGCTTTAAGTTATAAAGAAGAAAAAGAGACAATGCAAAGCTTGTGAGCTCTGGGTTTTTCTTCTTCTTCTTCTTCGTGCTTATTTGGATTGTCGCGAGGTAAAAAAAAAAAATTTCATCTTTCACGCTTTGCGTTGAAGGATCGCTGAAAAAATCATCGCTGAGCCGGGTGAAAAACTTGGAACCAAAAAATCTCTCATGCTTTCCTGTCTCGAGTGGAAAGTTTGCCTCTTCTGTGTGTGTGTCTTTGTTGTTTTTTTCATCGCTAGCTATCACCACCATGAGACGAGCCCGAGTCCGTCGGAGTTTATATCTCCCTGGAATGATCTAGATTAGAGAACAAAAAGAATTCAAGCTTGGAAGTTTTCTTGCTTACGATGACTTCCATTGGAGCGAAAGGTTGAGCGTCTCTTTCTTGCTCCAGAGGAATTGGGGGATATCTTACTTTTAAAACTCTAAACCGGACCTAGAAGAACGAAACAGTGAGTCCATGGATTAGAAAACAGTGATTCCGCTCACCTCTTCTTCAAGGTCCATGAACATCTCGTTTTCTTGGTAGTTCCACACCCATAGTTTCTCGTTCTCGTCACTGTTTGATATTGGATCGGATCAGCCGAAGAAACGAAAGCAAAAACTGGATTTTTTTGCTATGACTTACAATTTAGAGGGCTGCTGGAGTTGATGGTGAGGCACGATTATGTCTTCGAAAAAACCCATCGACACTGGAAACACGAAAAAATCCCTCGATCAAACCAAGAAAAATAAGTTCTTTCGAAGGGAAACTTACAAACCAGCCCATTCTTGTCGCATTTCTTGAGCTTCGCGACCAAAATCTCTCCTGGAAATGGACGAAACATGACCAGCTGAAACTCCACCTGGAAATCCCCTTAAAAATTCGCTATCTTTCGAGTAAAGGAGATTGCTTACAGTGTAAGTCGGAGCTCCATCGCCAGGGAAAACAAATCCCCCTTCGATCGATTGGATATCGTACAGCGACACGCACAGCCCCAGATCCTTGACGACCTGGAAATATATAAAAACCAACAATGTAGCTCCAATGGGGGAGATTATCACCGGCGATCGACACGCACCTTGTCCAGGAACAATCTGTGGATCTCGAGCGTGATGGCGTCGAGCAGCGGCAGCACGAGATTGGCGGGCGGGATTCGCAGCGTGTCCCGCAGCTTGGACAGGACGAACATCCTTAAAACCATAAACCCTAAAAACCTATCCACTGGCCTTTGCCTAGTATAGCGGCCTTTGGATAGGTTTAGCGCGTGCGAGCACGAATGGAGTTCCTACCGTAGTGGTAGGAACTTCATTTTTTAAAATGCACGTCGGGATTTCGAATCTCTCTAGATTGTTTTTTTTTTTGGCTTTTTCTCTTTTATCGCGTGATACGAAGAATCCCATTGCACTGAGACAATAGGATTTTCATATAGTACTTGGAGCCTCGCGAGAGATTGACTTTGGAGCGTTTAGCAGCCGGAAGGTCGTCGATTGTACACTCTGAAAATCCGCGATGCACAAACCTGCGAGCATTCTCTCGTTAGTTTCATGCGTTTCCCATTGTTTTGCGAACTTACCAGTCGGCAGTGCGCGTTGTTAGGAGAAAGAGTTTCTCCAGTCCGGTCCTTGCAGCTTTTCTTTCGATGTAATCTAAAAGAACAAAATGAAAAAAGTCGTTTTTGACGAAGAAAACTTGAAGCTTACCGAGAAGGCTGTCACCTTGGCCGTGGCCACGGCACTCCGGAGCTACTGCAAAAGCGGCAATTCTCCTGATTTCTCAGCAGGATATGGGAAGAGCGCAGCGCATGCGATCAAGCATCCATCTCTTTCCACCACTATGAAATCGTCAATTTCTTGAATCAGCTGAAACAGAAAGTTACATGAATACCAAGAAGAGAATAGAGGAAGAACTTGCCTGCTGTTTGCTCCTGTGGACGAGGATGCCATGCTCTTCCAAAGGACGAAGAAGTTGCTGGATGCCCAAGATATCAGAGCTTGTTGCCGAGCGAGTCCCTTCATACATATCACTGCAGCACAACAGTTGGATCGGGAAAACGAAATCAAGAAAAATGTCATACTTGGAAATCATAGTTCCAATTCCATCTCGCGTGTAAAACTCGAGAAGGATTGCACCTTCGACAGTACAATCCAGAAGATGAACACGCGTAACACCGCCCTGTTGGAAAGTTAATAGTAAACCAGATGCACGAAAAAAAGAGAGGATAGAAAGCATACCCGACAAGCGAATACAGCCGCAGCCAGTTCCGAAAGATGTGTTCTACTTTGTCTTTCCCGGCCACCAATTGCAAAACCCGAGTTTTGATCCGTATGTGAACTTGCCATGGGACTTCCATTTGAGAAAGAATCAAGTCCCAAGCTTATGGAGTATTTTGCTCCAGCGACAGCCTTGACATAATCAGCAGCAGTGTAACTTTGGCTCGTTTGAGTTCTGATCGCTTGATCTGCTTGCTCGAGCGTCATGAACTTAAGAACACTGTTCTTCTCGTCCACAATCGGACCGTCGACCAGACAGAGCAACTTATCGGCCGTGAGGGCTGTTGCGCAAGAGGTCGCTACTTCATATGTACTGCAACAACGCTACCAAAGTATGAGATCAAGCTCCAAAAGACTACTTATTCGATGAACCTTTACCATCGTGGACATACTTGCAATTCAAAACGTCTCCAGAGCTCGAGTAGCCAAGGTTGCTAAGGATCACGATGCAGTTGCAATCCAACCTCTCTTTGATGCGGACGATATCGAGCTTCTTCACTTCTCCTGTAGCTCCAAAGTCGACTCCATTAACAACACCTCTCCTCTGAAAGTTTATAGAAAGTCTATAGGAGGAGCAAAGGTCTAGAAAAATACACACGTACCTTAGCCGAGAGAAAGTTTCCTCCTGCAACGCTCAATCCAGCCCGTGCAGCTCCACCATGCCGTCGCAACACAGGGACCATTGGACCTCTTGAAAGCTTCGCTTCTATATCCACGAGGATTTTCCCTGCCGCTTCCATCGAGGCTTCAAGAGCGTTAGAGTCTGTGACTCTGTAGGCTCCAATGTAGCAAGGCTCCTGACCTGGAAGAAACTCCCATTTCTTAGTAGACACGATTATAACGCGATGACTACAAGAAAAACTTGTTTTTCTCAAGATCCTAGACAAGAAAGAGCAAGAAGAAACCTTACCCCTTTCTCGGAGAAGAGCATCGATCTGGATATGAGTTCCAGGAACGATCACCAGCTTGATGCCGAGTCCATGTAGAAGAGAGATATCCTATAGAAAAGATAAAATGCCATGCTATGGTTTCTACAAACATACCTGAAGAACATTGTCTAGAACAAGACGATTGGCGATAACTTCACCAGGGATGACGATCACGAAAGTACTGCCCCGATGGCCTTGAATGTATGGCCAGGCTTCGCGAAACCAGCTCACATACTGCCTCTGCTTGTCCATTGTCATGGCAATCCCCTCGCCGCTGGCGCTCATCGCAATGCAGCGAGCTGTGAGCTTGAGATTGGTGGCAGCGCGCAACCATCCTGCGCCAGTACCGCCAAACGAGCTCTCGTTCTTTGCTCCGGCGTGCACAGCGCCCCCGCACAGCGGCATGGTAGCCATCATCCGCCCTAGCTTGAATTAACTGGTTTAAAATACATTACTTTGATTAAAATCATTAGCTTGACTTAAAGCAATCGATGGCGATGGCGGAGCCCCTTGAAATGCTGAATTTCTTCTCCATCAATGCTGGTAAATTTTCTTTTGGTGATCTATAGGAGAACTTTCTCCTAGGTCAATTCATCTCTTCTTCTTTGACAATAGCAGATGAGGAAGAAGAACTAATGAAAAACACTAATTAGCTCATTTAGTTGTTTTCTGTCACTTTAGAATTAGAGTTTTCTATTTTTCCAGAGGCTTTTGGTTATCGATTTGTAAATCATAGGTACTGTTGACATAGCAGACAGTTCTGCAATTCGTTCCATCCCCGGCAATTATCGCAATGTGGAGAACCGCGGCTTGGCGATCCAAGGCAGCCAATTGTCCTCTTTCTTTATGCTGCACGCTGAAAATCTCTTGGATCAAAAAGTCCTCTCGGAGAACCAGCTTTGCAGCAGTCCCAAGGACTTCCTGTAGAAAAGTCTACCGAGGAAAAACAAAGGGATTATACTGCTTTCCTTTTCTGGTATTCTCAGCATTTCCAGACTAAGTTTGTGTAATATAGAATTTTGAAATCCTCATTCCATCAGAATATCTGATCTACTGGGATGGACTGCAATGAGGCTAGCGACTGTATACTCTCCATTGCTCCATATCAGCTTCCCGAAAACATCATTATCAATGTTTGAGTCGCCCTCCACTCTAAATATCACCTGGAATGCTTTTGTCTCGCCCTTGTGCTTGAACCGCAGCACTGATGGATGAACCGACACCGACACACTGTCCGGTGCCTCGATAGATGCCGTGTAGTTCGTCGCATCATCTCGGAGATGGCAATGGATGGATAGTTGAGGTCTGTGGGATTGTCGGGACACGTAGCAGAAGTTTCCGTGAGGCATTGAAGTTCAGTTTGGTTGTATCCCAGACCGCAGAGATATCCAATGTAGTCTTGCTCGTCGGCGTCGTATACTAGGCCAGGGTGTGCAGCAGCATTTGGATTTACGTGCCCTCCACCAAAATGAAGGGGTGTTGCAGGAGTTCCTGATGAATTCTTGATTGGTTCTCCAAGATTATCGAATGAGTAACCTGTTTTGTTTTGAAGTGTCATGAACCATGGAGGTTCCATGGTCCGTCGGAGTTATTGAATTGTGCGTGTGCTGTTAGAATGTTTACTCCTGGAGCTGTAATATTGGGCTGAGAGAACAAAAGTCTTTAAAAACTACCAAAAAATTAGCCTGGATCAATATGGTTGGGTGCTATGAAGGGAGCAGGCTTTTGATTTCTCAATGTTATTTGATGCTGTATATCCGCTATAGGATCTCTGCCAGGCACACAAAGGTAAGAAACAGAAAGAAGAACGAAGATTTTACCTTTGTAGATTTGATATATGAATAGATGGCTTGTCCAACTTCTTCATCGACATGAATTCAGGGAAGAAATTTATTATCAGGATTTTGATCGACTAGAGTGGAGTTGCAAAAGATAATTCCAGCTCCGCCAGCTCGATCAACTTCGCGTGATTGGAACCCTGGCTGCATCGGCCCTCTCAACCATGCCCGGACTTTCTCGGGATCCAAAGACCGGCTCATACACAATTGCCTGCAGCATTAATAGTGTTCTCAAATCTATACATTAAGAAGATATTTTACCTGGCTGTAAAGTTGGAAGTTGGCAAGCCACCATCGGCTCCCGCAGCAAGATGATACCACTACTTTTTTAATCTTTGCTCCGTCATACTAAAACCCCGAAATGATTTATTGTTGCCAAGGTAAAGGTCTCCAAAATAGGATCGATCAAGAGTGCTCGATCCAACAGTGATGACCCAAGGAGCTCCATTTTGCACAGAACCAGGACCCAGAGTCTGCTGCGCGTTTCCAGCAGAAGCTACCACCACAATGCCTTTCTGCACGGCATGGAATGAACCCGATCGACAGTGCGTGCTGGAAGTAATCGCCGAATACGCAGAAAGCGTGAGTCTGGAGCGCCACCTTTTGCAGTGCCTTTTGCGTAGCCAAGCCAGTTTGCGTTTCTCACGAATCGGCCTCCGGCAGTGGAAGCCGTGTGAGTTCCATGGCTGTGAACATCTCTTGGAGAAAGAAGTTCTTGGTGTGCTTTTGCATATGCCTCGGGACCATCTTGCAGGCCGTTGGCACCTATCAGTTTCCTGAAAGATCAAAGTTGAAAAAATTAAAATTCACGTGAGTGTTCTTTTTACTCGTTGCAGTGAGAAGCGTTGAATTGCGCCCCAGTTTTGCAAGTTCCTTTCCATCTTTCGGGAATTGGTCCCATGCCATGTTCGGAAAAGCTTTTCGATTCTGGCCATACTCCTGGAGAAGACCAGTAAAAAGAAGAAGAATACGAAAAAGTGAAATACAAACACCGATGATGATGTCTTTGCCAAATTTTGCTCTCCTCCATAGCCACGATGATTCGGTAGCTCCGCTAGCACCGTACAAGGATTTCCCTCCATTTCCATAGAGGCCGAGAAACTCCCATGAGTTTGTGGTGTGGACCGTATGAATTTTGTTGGGAAAGACGGACAACACGTTGGGAGACCTGCAGTGTGAGAAGAGGTTGACTTACATTTATAAACTTCAAGTTTTTCATGAGCCTTACCAGAGAGTTTAGCCGCTTGTTCTTCTGTTAGACGAGCCGAGAAGCCACTAAATCCATGCATGTAGCTAAAACCCAGTGATTCTCTGGCAGCCTCGGCACTGGCATAAACGAATTTGGATGAAGTCATACTCTTTTCTTTTGTGATTAAAGTTTTACCTTCCTAGAACGTCGTGAAGGAGTGCGTGATGGGAGCCAGTAACAGCATCTGGATGGAGCGATTTATCGACATTCCCCAAATAGACAATGTGAGTGTCTCCTTGATCTCGTCCCTGGAAATAGAATATAACGCAAGGGCTTATAAATTATACGTTATGCTACTTAAGAACCTGAGCGATGGAGATCGCACTTGAACTTAGAAGGATGAATAGATAGATTGAGAGCGCCATGAACTTGGAAGACTTCTGTTGAAGATTTGTAGGTAAGAAGATATGATAATTTATATTGGAGGTGTCCGTGTGTAACGCGGTCACCTTTTTTGACGACTAATTCAAGAGAGTCCGTCCATGACTCGTGATGCTAAATTTAAGAAGCAAGAAACATTCATACAACGATCTGTTGCTGTATGTTCGCTGCAGGGAAGCTGCAACATTGAGCTGAAAACATATAAACTTAACGATTTTCTTCTTTTACCTCGTTGGCCTCGCCAGCTTTGTCCACAAACTTTTCTATGAGATAGCCAGGGCTCTAGCTTTCCTCTTGCCAGTCTTCACCTCTTGAATGCGTTGCTGAAGGAGCCCTAGCTCCGTCAGTCCTCATCTCAGCATACGCATTCCGAGTCTTCGAGTGTGGAGTGTTCGGCCATGGATTACTCGCATTTAAGCGTAACACAGATGGAATATTAAAATAGATTCTTAATAGATAACATTTTTATTCTTAGAGTAAGCCCTATTCGTCCAAGTAAAGAGTAGCAAGTAAGTTTGGCAAAACCTTGGAGGCCAGTGGGAGCTGGAGCTGCAAAGATGCCGCGAGTTCCTCCTCCACGAGCGGTACGACGAGCAGGTCCTGGTGCAGTGCCACCTCCTCCTCGACAAGCAGGCCTCCACGAGCAGTTTCTCCTCGGTCACCACACACTGGCACCACCGAGCTCGCCACGATCTCCTCAAGCGGCTCCTCGTCCTCCTCAGGCCGTGTCACCACCACAAGCGGCTCCTCATCCTCTTGGGGCAGTGTCACCACCATGAGCACTGCCACAAGAGACTCCTCCTCCTCCTCTGGCAGTGTCTCATCGTCCGCTAGCACCACCATCTGAGGGCAAAGCTCCTCCTCCTCCTCCACGGGCAGTGTCTCATCGTCCGCTAGCACCACCACCTGAGCTGAGGCTCCTCCTCCTCCTCCTCGGGCAGGGTTTCATCGTCCGCTAGCACCACCACCATCCACAGGGAACTCGCGGATCATAGTTGTATGGCTTTCCAGTCCCGCAGCAAGATTCTGGTCCGTTCTGAGAGCCTGGAACGATTCGTAACTAGAGAAGAGATATAGGATGCCGGTTACCATTGGACGGAGTCCCGAAAGCTGGCTCGCAGCATGTCTAAGGTGATCCTGAGACGCTCGTTGTGAAGAACTGTGATCCGGTTGTAGTCGATGGGGCAGCCCATGGTGTCATGGTCATTGGGATCCGTGCTGGCGAAGCAGGAACTCGGGCACCATGAAGTTGGCCGCTCTGAAAGTCGTCGAGAGGAACTATACGAGGAAAAGTATTGGTGAGGTTAAAACACACCAGTCTAGAGGAAAAGTTACCAGAACAGTCGCTGTGATGTTCTCCACGACGTGGGGGATTACAGTGCGCTCCGCTTCACGAACCGTCCTGTTATCGCGGAAGAATGCATCTGTTGTTGGCAAAGGCCGGTGATCTTAGCTGGAAAAAATCGCGGGTGAATAACCAAGTAGAAATGGAAGAGATGAAATAACCAACTTACCAAGAGATTGATTCCCAAGAGCATCTCTCACGAGCCACTGGATCTGAGGCATGAGAGGGTATGGGTCTGCCGAGATCCAATCGAGTTGGCAGCCCTCCCTCCTGCAAATTCGAGACAACAATTCCCAGCGCCTGAGCTGCGGATCGCCCAACAGAAGATGAGATTCGAGCAAGGAGAATGATATCCAGCATCAGGCGCCCATCCGAGAGCCGCCGCTTGCAGTAGGGCTCCTCGTCCGGAGGTTCCCGACATCACCCCAATCGTCGCCAAAGCCGAAGAGCACCTGTGGCCGCCGCCGCCGCCTTCGCGCTGCCCCTGCGCCAAAATGCCGCACAACACAAGCAAGACAAGCGATGGAAACCTCATCGATCTTACAACCCGCCATTTTTCCCGATGAAAATAGTTTAGGGTTCTAAGTTTTAGCCCGGCAAGATAAGAAATGAGTTAAAAGAGTAAAGTTTAAAATAACAAATATAATATTATATTTAATATATTTAAGAATATTTTAGGTATATTCATTATCTCTTGGTACTTTATATTATTACAAGATAATTTTATGTTTTTAATTTTAATATTATTTTTGTTTTTAATTGCAGAAAAATCTCTAGGAACATATTTAGTAGTAGCATTATCAGCTTCCAAATGTTCACATTAGTCCTTGTAGCAAGGGACACTCAGACCATGTTGCAAAACCATCTGTGTAAATATAATTTGTTTTTATAAGAAAGCCATAAAACTTTGTTGAAAATGGCTAGTTTTCTTGTTTATTTCTCAATATTATTTACTGTCACATATAGCTATTTTAAATTTTATTTTATTTTATTTTTATATATACCAGAAGAAGAGATATGTTTGAAAAAATGAAAAAGCTAAAGTAAAAAAGATGAGAGCTCATACAAGGAGAAAGGTTTGATGTGTAAGCTAGTAATGGTGAATTCGGATCTATCTAGAGGTGGCCAAAATGAAGCACATTATTTTCATTTTTCTCCCTCCCTGATTCTTGGATTCCTGCTCGTTTGATCTTTGGCAAGAGATGGAGTACTAGAGTAGGAATTAGGTGTAGCGTGGAATGCAGGGGGTGGTGTGGCTCCAAGAGTATACCAAACCAAACCACTCTCATGTACAAAACGTTAAACCAATTAATTTTGATGGTAGAACATATAAATATTTAACAAAGTTTATAAATTATGAATAGATGGTAAAATGTTCCAAACATATTTGAGCTTCCACCAGAGCTTCCTCGAGCTGCTTTGCTCGTCCCAGCATGCCGATCATGCAGTGGTAGTGCTCAATGCCCGGATCTAATCCACACCTAGACATCATCTCCTGGAAAAACTTTTTGCCTTGCTCGATCATCCCAGCCCGGGTGCAAGTCGTGAGCACCGAGACATAAGTTACACCGTCCGGCTTGACACCCCCCTCACATCACTTGATCGCTGTCTCCCTGGCGGCTGTAGCCCGCGATAAGTGAGCTCCAACTCACAGCATCCTTCCTCGAGACCGAGCTAAAAACCAGCTCCGCTTCGTCCATGCTCCCACAGCTGCTGTAGAAATCGACCAATGAAGAGATCACGGCTCCCTGGAACTGGAACCCCAAGCTCGTGATCTCTTCGTGAAGTATCCGGCCAAGCCTCAAGGCTACCGAGCTTCAACCAGCTTTGAGCGCGCAAACGAGCGTCCACACGTCTGGAGAACATCCCTCAAGTTGCATTAGGAAGAAAAAATGTAAAGCAGTTTCAGCCTGGCTGTTTTCAACGTACCCGAGCACCAATGCCGTCCAGAAGACTTGATTTGGCTGGAAAATGGTGCTAAACACTCCAAGAGCATCGCCCATGCTGCCATAAGCCGCGTACATTTGGATCAAGAAGCTGTGAAGAAAGATATCCAAGCGATGCATATGGTTAGTAATTTGCAAGGGCTGCGCGTGAAAAGCCATATCTCTTTCCAGAGACTTCAACTTGAGTATCCTTCCATGATCTACTCCTCCCTCCCTCTTTGCTAGAGAAGTGATGGCCTGGAACACCGCAACAAAGGTTCTGGCATTTGCTCCACTGCTTTCTCACTGAAGCACCACCTCCCTCTGCCCATTCTCAACAAATCCCTGCATCAAAGAAGTCCATAGAACTACGTCACGCTTTGGAGCTCCATGAAAAACCTTCCACGCATCCACCACGGTTCCACACCGAGCATACATTTCCACCAGGCTGCTAGCTACCAAAGCGTTTGTGTCGATTCCCCGAAGAGCCATTCCTCTCTCGACGGAAGAAAACTTCACGACGAGCTCTAGATCTTGTAAAACCTTCCCATTTTCCTTCTCTGCGAGGCCTTGAGCAATCCAATAAACGTGACAGAGCTCCCTTGCAAGCCTCGCGATTCCATGTCCAGGAAGAGCTGGAGCGTGCCATGCCCATTCTCGGCATAGCCCAGAATGAGAGAATTCCACGGGACGGGGTCGGGGCAATCCATCCGGTCGAAAGCCCTGCATGCCTCGCCCATGCTGCCGCACTTGAGATTCACTAGGTCGCTCGTCACGAACGCATTGGAATCGAGGCCGCAGCTCTCCGCCTCGGCGTGGATTTGCTTACCCCGGGACCGAGAGCATTCCTTGAGCGACGCAAGGAATCTCCTCACCTCGCAATCGCTGGAGCGGGCGCGGCCAAGCTTGGAACGGAAAGCTCGAGGTCACGAAGAGGAAGAACGAAGGTTTCATTTGATTCTTTGTTTCAAAGACAACCTTGACCGTTTATAAGACTATCTTGACCCCGTACTAACATAACTATTTAATTACATTTTTTATTGCCATATAAAAAGGCCTTTTAAGATTCACACAATCAGGGTTCAATGGCAGCGGAGATCGAGAGTGTGGACAAGAAGGCTAACGCTGTGGCAGCGATGACTGTGATCAAAAAGGGAAGGAAGAGGCAGCGAGACAAAGAGGGACAAACTCATACAAAGGCTAGTGCTCCAAAGAGAAGGCATGAGCTCGAGGAGGAACCCCCTATGGTCCCAAAGAAAAATTTGAGCAGCAAGGTAGTATACAAGATTGATGGGTTAGTTATCACTTCCCACAGCGATTTTCATGACTTTTGGCCGCGATCAGCATCCAAGCTACCGGCACCGGACTACCTCCACTGCGCTGGAGCTCAAGAGCTTCACAGCCTCCTCACCCAAGAGCTCTGCAGGAGAGACCGTGATGATTGCGGCCCAAGGAACGCCCAGCTCTTGGTGGTGATTGGCGGGACGAGATGCTACATGATGAGGCGACTCGAGGACTTGTGCCACTCGACTAGATGCGCTGGAGACAAGATCTGGTATGGAGTCCAGATTAAAGAGGGTGGAAGCTTGTGCACGCTGTTCAAGTATATGTTTGATGGGAGGAGCACGAGCATGAGCCGGGACATGTCCAAGGAAATCCATGCCAAGGATTGCACAAACAAGACAAACAACATGATTCAAGAGATCCTCTCCCATGTCTCTGGGAACAAGAGCAACAATTACTTCTCTCCAATCCGTGTGGAGAGTGTCCACCATTGAAATCACCCATGAGCTTTCACCCATGGTGAGCTTTCACTGTAAGAGAGTACATCAAAATAGAGAACAATTAAAAGTAGTGTGTTATTTCTCCCGATCGACATTGGCTTCGCTTCTTAAATTCCTGATGCATTGCTTCACCAATATGGGCTGGTGATTCTATAACCGTGACTTCCACAAATTTCAGTCAGCAAAACAGCAAAACAAAAAGCTATCAGAACGATGGACGATCAAGGCAGAAAGAGATGTATGTATACATACCACTTGATTTTGTCCTGGGCCGTGCCGACTGAAATATTTAGTGGGCCATGTTAATGTAATGGGCATTTGGTCTAGTGGCATGGTTCTCGCTTTGCAAGAGGTCCCGAGTGTATTTTCAACAAATGAGAAATTGCTCCGCGCTCGTCTCTCCATTTTTCTTCGGCATGGAAGCTTCGAAGAAGCCTTTTGCCTCGTGCAAGAGCATCACTGGGACGTGCTAAACAAGCTCTTTGCTTTCGCCATTTGCCCGTTTATGGCATACCCGTGAATTGTGACGCTTCGAGTGATGGTCTTATCGAACAGCTCTTGAACATATGTTGCCATGAGGGTGCTCCATGTCGGCATCTTGTAGCGGCATAGAATAAAAAATTTGTTTAGCCATTTTCAGATGCCCGGCCATGGGTTCCACATCACTATATCCTTGCTGCTGGCTTTGTTGGGTTAAGCTCCTTGCAGCGCTATATGCTTCAATCATCACTTTCCAGGAGATGTCATCATGTCGCGGTGCGGCAATCCATCAAAGACTTGTTGGGCTTTATCTGTTCTGCATAAGATTTGAGCGTTGTGGTGGGGGAGACAAGATCAACTTCAGTCATGCGATGGAAGATTTGTTCTGTGCTGTGAGAATCCCCAGATCGGGCGTATGTTGACAGGAGACAATATCAGATTTCGTCCATATTGTCACCGTGTGTATAGGCAGCGAGCATTGCGCTCCAGGTGATGAGATCATGTTCCTCCATCGAATGAAAACCTAGCTTGGCTTTCTCCAAATGCCCAGAACAAGCAAGTGCAGTAAGAATTGTGGTAGAAGAAATGAGTTTCCATTCTGGGATTGATTCATAAAGTGACTGTGCCTTGAGAAGAGTGTTGTTTGTGATATAAACAGCTATCATTGCATAAGTTGTTTTGCGGGATTTTGAACAAGAGATGTTCTGCTTCATGGAGATGAGCATTTGTGGCAAATGCTTACAATATCATCACCCAGGAGAAGCAGTCCTTGGTGACAATTCTGCAAAAGATTTGGTAAGAATGAATCTGGTTAGATCATTATAAATAACTCCAACCAGAAGAAATTTTGCTTCCTTTTGTGGTTAACATTCAGTTGCAATTCTTTTATGATTGAGTTTGATAGCTAAGTGAAAGATGGTTGTTTTATATTAGAAAAAACTATATTAATAAAATTATTTTCCAGCACAATTGAAGTCTTTTCAGATTTTTTAGGTTTACAGTTTTTATAAAATAATTTGAACAAAAAATTATATCAATTTTAATTTTTAAAATGATAAATTAAAATAAGTGTTCAAAATGTTTTTTAGGAAAAACATTATGATACATATGCATAATTGAACTGAAAAATGATTTTACTCTTTAATTTTTTAAGTCATTTTTTTATCCAATTGGATAATTTTAATTTTTAATCTTCTAAATATCAAAAAAATTAAATATTTATTTAATTGATTATTATTTAGTGGTAGTTAGAGTTTATATAATATGAACATATAACTTCCAAATGCTAATTTAGAAATAAAAAGATTATTTTGAAGTTGTTCTTTTTTAATCTATTGCAACAATTTTACTTTATAATCTCCTAAAATATCAAATGCAAATAAACTTTAATTTTTATTTAGTGGTTTTATAGTATTTATATAATATAAACATATAATTTTGTAAACCCAAGCACTAATTTAGAAGGAAAAACATGATTTTAAACTTAGAATTGTAAAGTGTTTTAACTATATTTTTTTGTAAATTGTTTGCATTTGAAGTTTCTAATTAAATTAACATTTTTTGTAAATTGAATTTAATAGGTAAGAAATGTCAATTTAACCATTCTATTTATTTTAGTTGATCAAAATAAATAATAAACCTTAATTACAATAAGACATTATAATACAATTTGGCCAAGCATGAAAAGTATCTATGGATAATGCAGGCAGTGATTGTTCCTCCAAAGTACGAAGGGAATCAATCAAATCTTGCTGACCATGAGCCGTAACCATGTTTTGGCAATATTCCATGAAATACAGATTGAGCAATGGCTACTGCAGGCAATCTCAGCATGCCATCTGAGAAATGTAGCTCCAGGGATCACTTTAGAGACTTCTTGATTCAATGTAGCTTGCGGATGTCCATATATCAACCTTCCATATCATTGAGATCAATGTGAAGCCCGTGTAACGAGCTATGGAGAAATCTTTCACAGGAGAGAGAGGATGTTGTCACAAGCAATCTTCTCCACTCTCTCATCCTTCCACTTGGAGCAAGCACCCAGCAAACTCGTCCAAGTGACCATTGTGGCTTCAAATGGCATAGCTTCCACCATCTCCACAGCTTCCTCGAGCTGCTGTGCCTGCATGCCAATCATTCTGTGGTAGTGCTCAATGCCTGGATCTAATCCTCACCTAGACATCATCTCCTGGAAAAACTTTTTGCCCTAGTCGATCATCCCAGCCTGGCTGCAAGTCGTGAGCACTGAGACATAAGTTACACTGTCTGGCTTGACACCCTCGTCACATCACTTGATTGCTGTCTCCTTGGTGGCTGTAGCCTGCGATAAGTGAGCTCCAACTCACAGAAAAGCACGTTAACAAACTGGTGTCCAATGAAACAGAATATTACTCTTCGTTAACATTAACGGAAGAGCAATTCTTACAAAATTGCAGACAAACTTGTAATAGTATTCCGCCAAACTGATAAAGGAATAAACATCTGATATAGACGAAGGCATATTCCCGGCAAATGTACTCTTCGTATGCTTCTCAAGACTTCATCAGTACTACTTTCTTTGGATTTACCTCAATTACGCCACCACTAACTATGTGTCTGAGAAAATTTATGCGCAATTGTCCAAAAGCACATTTACTTTCCTACAGAGATGTCAATGACTTCACCAGTTTTACTTTTTCTAAATTTACCTCAATTACACCACCACCAACTATATGTCCAAGAAACTTTACGTGCAATTGTCCAAAAGCACATTTACTTTCCTACAGAGATGTCAATGTCCTCAAATAAATAAACTCGTGTCATTTGCTCTGATACCAATTATAGCACACTTTATCTTTCTCCCCTTAAATCAACTGAAAAAAGGGCAATTGCTTAATGAGAGAGCCTTTAATGACTATTTTATCCCCATTTATCCCCCAAAGTTCTAAGGATCCATGGTGACAGTATATCCAAATTTCATCCCATGATCATATGCGCTACAAAACACCAGCTCCACTTTCCATAGCTGCTATAGAAATCAACCAACCAACGAAGAGATCACAGCTCCCTGGAACTTGGAACTGGAACCCCAAGCTCGTGATCTCTTCATGAAGTATCCGGCCAAGCCTCAAGGCTACCGAGCTTTGAGAGCCCAAACGAGCGTCCACACGTCTGGAGAACACCCCTCAAGTTGCATTAGCAAGAAAAAATGTAAAGCAGTTTCGGCCTGGCTGTTTTCAACATACCCGAGCACCAATGCCGTCCAGCAGACTTGATTTGGCTGGAAAATGGTGCTAAACACTCCAAGAGCATCGCCCAACAAGCCGCGTACATTTGAATCAAGAAGCTGTGAAGAAAGATATCCAAGAGATGCATATGGTTAGTAATTTGCAAGGGTTGTGCGTGAAAAGCCATATCTCTTTCCAGAGACTTCAGCTTGAGTATCCTTCCATGGATTGTATCTTCTCCTCATTCCGTCTTTGCTAGAGAAGTGATGGCCTGGAACACCGCAACAAAGGTTCTGGCATTTGCTCCACTGCTTTCTCGTTGAAGCACCACCTCGCTCTGCCCATTCTCTACAAATCCCTGCATCAAAGATGTCCATAGAACTACGTCATGCTTTGGAGCTCCATGAAAAACCTTCCACGCATCCACCACGCTTCCACACCGAGCATACATTCCACCAGGCTGCTAGCTACCAAAACGTTTGTGTCGATTCCCCTTGCAGCGGCCAGGGAGTGAAGAGCCATTCCTCTCTCGACAGAAGAAAACTTCACGACGAGCTCTAGATCTTGAAAAACCTTCCCATGTTCCTTCCCTGCGAGGCTCGCGCAGGCCTTGAGCAATCCAATAAACGTGACAGAACTCCCTTGCAAGCCTCGCGATTCCATGTCCAGGAAGAGCTGGAGCGCAACCCCGCCATGCCCATTCTCGGCATAGCCCAGAATGAGAGAATTCCACGCGACGGGGTCGGGGCAATCCATCCGGTCGAAAGCCCTGCGCACCTCGTCCATGCTGCCGCACTTGCCATAGAGATTCACCAGGTTGCTCGTCACGAACGCATTGGAATCGAGGCCGCAGCGCTCCGCCTCGGCGTGGATTTTCTTACCCCGGGATCGAGAGCATTCCTTGAGCGACGCAAGGAATCTCCTCACCTCGCAATCGCTGGAGCGAGGCCAAGCTTGGAACGGAAAGCTCGAGGTCGCGAAGAGGAAGAACGAAGGTTTCATTTGATTCTTTGTTTCAAAGGGTCAAGATAGTCTTATAAACGGTCAAGGTTGTCCGTACTAAAATAACTATTTAATTACATTTTTTATTGCCATATAAAAAGGCCTTTTAAGATTCACACAATCAGGGTTCAATGGCAGCGGAGATCGAGAGTGTGGACAAGAAGGCTAACGCTGTGGCAGCGATGACTGTGATCAAAAAGGGAAGGAAGAGGCAGCGAGACAAAGAGGGACAAACTCATACAAAGGCTAGTGCTCCAAAGAGAAGGCATGAGCTCGAGGAGGAACCCCCTATGGTCCCAAAGAAAAATTTGAGCAGCAAGGCAGTATACAAGATTGATGGGTTAGTTATCACTTCCCACAGCGATTTTCATGACTTTTGGCCGCGATCAGCATCCAAGCTACCGGCACCGGACTACCTCCACTGCGCTGGAGCTCAAGAGCTTCACAGCCTCCTCACCCAAGAGCTCTGCAGGAGAGACCGTGATGATTGCGGCCCGAGGAACGCCCAGCTCTTGGTGGTGATTGGCGGGACGAGATGCCACATGATGAGGCGACTCGAGGACTTGTGCCACTCGACTAGATGCGCTGGAGACAAGATCTGGTATGGAGTCCAGATTAAAGAGGGTGGAAGCTTGTGCACGCTGTTCAAGTATATGTTTGATGGGAGGAGCACGAGCATGAGCCGGGACATGTCCAAGGAAATCCATGCCAAGGATTGCACAAACAAGACAAACAACATGATTCAAGAGATCCTCTCCCATGTCTCTGGGAACAAGAGCAACAGTTACTTCTCTCCAATCCGTGTGGAGAGCGTCCACCATTGATTGTAAGAATCACCCATGATTAAAAGCTTTCACTTTAAGAGAGTACATCAAAATGGAGAACAATTAAAAGTAGCTTGTTATTCCTCCCGATCGACATTGGTTTCGCTTCTTAAATTCCTGGTGCATTGCTTCACCAATATGGGCTGGCGATTCTATAACCGTGACTTCCACAAATTTCAGTCTCTTGATTTTGTCCTGGGCCGTGCCAACTGAAATATTTAGTGGGCCATGTTAATGTAATGGGCATTTGGTCTAGTGGCATGGTTCTCGCTTTGCAAGAGGTCCCGAGTGTATTTTCAACAAATGAGAAATTGCTCCGCGCTCGTCTCTCCATCTTTCTTCGGTATGGAAACTTCGAAGAAGCCTTTTGCCTCGTGCAAGAGCATCACTCGCGCGACCTGGAATCGAATCAGGGACGTTCTAAACAAGCTCTTTGCTTTCGCCATTTGCCCGTTTATGGCATACCCGTGAATTGTGACGCTTCGAGTGATGGTCTTATCGAACAGCTCTTGAACATATGTTGCCATGAGGGTGCTCCACGTCGGCATCTTGTAGCGGCATAGAATAAAAAATTTGTTTAGCCATTTTCAGATGCCCGGCCTTGGGTTCCACATCACTATATCTTTGCTGCTGGCTTTGTTGGGTTAAGCTCCTTGCAGCGCTATATGCTTCAATCATCACTTTCCAGGAGATGTCATCATGTCGCGGCGCGGCAATCCATCAAAGACTTGTTGGGCTTGATCTGTTCTGCATAAGATTTGAGCATTGTGGTGGGGGAGACAAGATCAACTTCAGTCATGCTATGGAAGATTTGTTCTGTGCTGTGAGAATCCCCAGATCGGGCGAGGAGACAATATCAGAGTTCGTCCATATTGTCACTATGTGTATAGGCAGCGAGCATTGCGTTCCAGGTGATGAGATCACGTTCCTCCATCGAATGAAAACCTAGCTTGGCTTTCTTCAAATGCCCAGAACAAGCAAGTGCAGTAAGAATTGTGGTAGAAGAAATGAGTTTCCATTCTGGGATTGATTCATAAAGTGACTGTGCCTTGAGAAGAGCGTTGTTTGTGATATAACCAGCTATCATTGCATAAGTTGTTTTGCGGGATTTTGAACAAGAGATGTTCTGCTTCATGGAGATGAGCATTTGTGGCAAATGCTTACAATATCATCACCCAGGAGAAGCAGTCCTTGGTGACAATTCTGCAAAAGATTTGGTAAGAATGAATCTGGTTAGATCATTATAAATAACTCCAACCAGAAGAAATTTTGCTTCCTTTTGTGGTTAACATTCAGTTGCAATTCTTTTATGATTGATTTTGATAGCTAAGTGAAAGATGGTTGTTTTATATTAGAAAAAAATATATTAATAAAATTATTTTCCAGCACAATTGAAGTCTTTTCAGATTTTTTAGGTTTACAGTTTTTATAAAATAATTTGAACAAAAACTTATATCAATTTTAATTTTTAAAATGATAAATTAAAATAAGTGTTCAAAATTTTTTTTAGGAAAAACATTATGATACATATGCATAATTGAACTGAAAAATGATTTTACTCTTTAATTTTTTAAGTCATTTTTTTATCCAATTGGATAATTTTACTTTTTAATCTTCTAAAATATCAAACAAATTAAATATTTATTTATTTGATTATTATTTAGTGGTAGTTAGAGTTTATATAATATGAACATATAACTTCCAAATGCTAATTTAGAAATAAATTTTTTTTTAAGTTGATCTTTTTTTATCTATTGCAACAATTTTACTTTATAATCTCCTAAAATATCATATGCAAATAAACTTTAATTTTTATTTAGTGGTTTTATAGTATTTATATAATATAAACATATAATTTTGTAAACCTAAGCACTAATTTAGAAGGAAAAACATGATTTTAAACTTAGAATTGTAAAGTGTTTTAACTATATTTTTTTGTAAATTGTTTGCATTTGAAGTTTCTAATTAAATTAACATTTTTTGTAAATTGAATTTAATAAGTAAGAAATGTCAATTTAACCATTCTTTTTATTTTAGTTGATCAAAATAAATAATAAACCTTAATTACAATAAGTCATTATAATACAATTTGGCCAAGCATGAAAAGTATCCATGGATAATGCAGGCAGTGATTGTTCCTCCAAAGTACGAAGGGAATCAGTCGAATCTTGCTGACCATGAGCCGTGACCATGTTTTGGCGATATTCCATGAAATACAGATTGAGCAATGGCTACTGCAGGCAATCTCAGCATGCCATCTGAGAAATGCAGCTCCAGGGATCGCTTTAGAGACTTCTTGATTCAATGTAGCTTGCAGATGTCCATATATCAACCTTCCATATCATTGAGATCAACATGAAGCCCGTGTAACGAGCTATGGAGAAATCTTTCACAGGAGAGAGAGAGGATGTTGTCACAAGCAATCTTCTCCACTCTCTCATCCTTCCACTTGGAGCAAGCACCCAGCAAACTCGTCCAAGTGACCATTGTGGCTTCAAACGGCATAGCTTCCACCATCTCCACAGCTTCCTCGAGCTGCTGTGCCTGCATGCCAATCATTTTGTGGTAGTGCTCAATACCTGGATCTAATCCACACCTAGACGTCATCTCCTGGAAAACTTTTTGCCTTGGTCGATCATCCCAGCCTGGCTGCAAGTCGTGAGCACTGAGACATAAGTTATACTGTCCGGCTTGACACCCTCATCACATCACTCGATCGCTGTCTCTTTGGTGGCTGTAGCCTGCGATAAGTGAGCTCCAACTCACAGAAAAGCACGTTGACAAACTGGTGTCCAATGAAACAGAATATTACTCTTCGTTACATTAATGGAATGTGAGACACAAATCCCTAAGCCCCAAAGTGGAGCCGAAAGGGTGCCACGTGGTAGTGGCCGAAGCGAAAGCCAAACAAGCGTAACACTACTAAAAGGCTCTAACTTGAAAGGTTGAGAGTGGGAGTGGAACTCCCAACGGAGTGCTCAAGGAACGAGCATGAAGTGAGCAATAAGCGAGGCTCCAAAAAGGGACCCAAAAGGACCAACACATGAGACATGGAAAAGTCTGAGGTGGACCCGAGATGGACCCGAGATGGATTCGAGATTGAGTCTGAGACGAACCTGAGATGGAGTCCGAGATGGACCCAAGATGAAGTCCGAGGTGGACCGAGACGGAGTCCGAGATGGAGTCCGAGGTGGACCGAGACGAAGTCTGAGGTGGACCGAGACAGAGTCCGAGATGGACCCGAGATGGAGTCCGAGGTGGACCGAGACGGAGTCCGAGATGGAGTCCGAGATGGAGTCCGAGGTGGACCAAGACGGAGTCCGAGATGGAGTCCAAGATGGACCCGAGATGGAGTCCGAGGTGGACCGAGACGAAGTCCAAGATGGACTCGAGATGGAGTCTGAGGTCGAGACCGAGACCGGGACCGAAACCGAGACCAAGACTGAGACCGAGACCGAGATTGGGACTGAGACCGAGACCGAGATCGGGACTGAGACCGAGACCAAGGCCGAGGCCGAGACCAAGCCCGAGTCCGAGTTCGAGTCCGAGTCCGAGTCTGAGTTCGAGTTCGAGTTCGAGTTCGAGTTCGAGTCTGAGAGGGTGAAAGCTCAAAGCGTTCATCTCCAAGAGCCTGGGGGGTTTGGTGAGCTCCAAAAGTATAGGTCACGGTGTTCCGAAATGTTATCCCAAAGGTCACAGTGTTCCGAAATGTTATCCCAAAGGCCTAGACTGTGGAAAGGAAGAGGAGTAGTCCTCTAGTGTAGTGACCAAGGATACAGTCGTGCGGTGAGGAAATCCCAGAGGACCGTGGGACTTAGTGGTTGGGCCTGTGGGCCTTGATCCAGTGGCAGTGTTGGCGAACACGGCCAAGGATAGAAAGGGACTTAGTGGGGACCGGAAAGGGGATATTGGGGAAGGTTATTCCCCATGTCCATGGGCATCCTAAGGATGTAAAGGAGTGGATATAAGGTGATCACTCATGGATGGATGGCCTAGTCTTTGAGAGACGGGACTGTGATGTAGGTGGTGTTAGACCACCGATGTGACCAAGATGAATGGGCATGGCCTTAGCGTAACGGGCTGATATGTTGGTGGTACCTTGGGGTGTCGATCATGGGATCGGACATGTGGAGCACTTGGACCAAGTGCAAAGGTTGAGTGGCGGAGATGCCATTC